GTTGTGGTGCCACCTGACGTTGTGGTGCCACCTGACGTTGTGGTGCCACCTGACGTTGTGGTGCCACCTGACGTTGTGGTGCCACCTGACGTTGTGGTGCCACCTGACGTTGTGGTGCCACCTGACGTTGTGGTGCCACCTGACGTTTTGGTGCCACCTGACGTTGTGGTGCCACCTGATGTTGTGGTGTCACGTGATGTTGTGGTGTCACGTGATGTTGTGGTGCCACCTGATGTTGTGGTACCACCTTATGATGTGGTACCACCTGATGTTGTGGTGTCACGTGATGTTGTGGTGTCACGTGATGTTGTGGTGTCACGTGATTTTGTGGTACATTGTCTCTGGGGTAAAGCTGCGTTCCATCAAAATAGAGCAGAAAAAACTGCGTGGTTGAGATATTGTATTCCCAAGTGTGACTTTTGTATTGAAGGACATATCTTAGTATCATAGTTTCACTCCAATGGACACACTGATATCAGACGGCCGGGTGAGAAGAGTTGACCACGGGTTAGCGTGATCTTAGTGTTGTCACGGACCTCAGTGGGTCTTTTCCCACTTCAGTGGTGGTGTCGCGGAGCTCAGTGGGTCTTTTCCCACTTCAGTGTTGGTGTCGCGGAGCTCAGTGGGTCTTTTCCCACTTCAGTGGTGGTGTCGCGGAGCTCAGTGGGTCTTTTCCCACTTCAGTGGTGGTGTCGCGGAGCTCAGTGGGTCTTTTCCCACTTCAGTGTTGGTGTCGCGGAGCTCAGTGGGTCTTTTCCCACTTCAGTGGTGGTGTCGGGTGTTGGTGCGCGTTTGGTGTGTGTGTGTGGATGTGGAGAGTGTGTGAGCGTTTGGCTGTAGTGTGTGGTTGTGTCTGTGGATGTGTTTGGCTATAAAGTGTGGACCTCTGTGGGTGTACGTGTGTGTGTGTGACTGTGAGGTGTGTGTGTGTGACTGTGGTGTGTGTGGGAGTTTTTGGCTGTGGTGTGTGGCGGTGTCTGTGGGTGTGCGTCGAGTGTGCTGCTGCGGGGTGTTGTGTGTGCTGTTGTGGGGTGTTGTGTGTGCTGTTGTGAGGTGTGGGTGCTGTTGTGGGGTGTTGTGTGTGCTGTTGTGGGGTGTTGTGTGTGCTGTTGTGGGGTGTTGGCATGAAAGAGACTGCTACTGCCTTCTATCCACAGGTCAGTTCCAGTCGAGATATTGTTGTAGGCGAGGTGAAGAGAATACTTTTCTATTTTATTTTGTTAAGAATGCTCCACGCTATTAAATACATATTTGAGTACATTTAGCATTCTTGTTCCCGTCAAACGGAGTCAGGGCACAACGTCAGTAGCAGCAAAGATTCTTGCATCAATATTTGTGCGTACACAAAATGGAAGTACCCCCTAGATCAGCGGTTCTCAACCTGTGGGTCGCGACCCCTTTGGGGGTCGAATGACCTTTTTTCAGGGGTCGCCTAAGACCATCGGAAAATACATACACTCTACAGTTATAAAAAAGCAATAAAATAATTTTGTGGTTGGGGGGGGGGGGTTGCCACAACACGAGGAACTGTATCAACAGGTCGCGGCATCAGGAAGGTTGAGAACCACTGCCCTAATTGTTAATTTACCGTCTTCTTCGTTTAAAAGAATATGGATTGTATGGGTTTTATGAATTTTATGGATGATTTGTCACGCAACACGACTACAGGTGCTGTGACATGCGTTACGTCACCGGCCCAACAGAGCGGTTTTAACTCATGGCAATGGACCGAGACCACCGCTGTAACTTACGCCACTGGTCCAATCGCCTGGCTATAACTTAATCCACCGGCTCAACAGCCCGGCTATAACTTACGCCACTGATCCTACAGCATGGCTATATGTTACGCCACTGGTTCAACAGCATGGCTATAACTTACGCCACTGTTACAACGGCACGGCTATAATTTACGCCACCAGCCCAACAGTACGGCCATAGTTGACGTCCCTGATAGCACAGCGTATAACGGTACATACAGACCGCCGTTCTCTTACACGACTCTTGTTCAAACATCGATGTAGTTCAATAAATGTTTGTACACTTAAGCACTTAATGCTATTGATTTGAAACAACCAGATCCTTTTAATTTGTAGATCACACACACATAAACAAAAACTTGTACACTCTCACACACATGCACACATACACACTCACACGCAAGTACACACGCGAGCATACACACGTGCATTCACACGACGACGTGCCATATACCTATACACACATGCACAAGTGCACACACACATGCACAAGTGCACACACACAGATGCATACATTCACTTACAAGCAGAGGCATATACTTATACAATAACACACACATACATGGATGACTTACTGCACATACTCACATATTCACACAAACATGCTCGCTTATTCACACACACATACTTACACTCTTGCAGCACTGCATTACAATCTCTAAAAATGACCATCTCTTTTGTGTGCATAACTTCGAGTGCGAGACCGATGTGGTTGTCACACTTGACAGAAATGGTTGGCACACGTGACAGGAATGGCTGGCACACTGACAGAAATGGTTGGCACACGTGACAGGAATACTTGGCAGACGTGACAGAAATGGTTGGCACACGTGACAGAAATGGTTGGCACACTGACAGAAATGGTTGGCACACGTGACAGAAATGGATGGCACATGTGACAGGAATAGTTGGCAGACGTGACAGAAATGGTTGGCACACATGACAGGAATGGTTGGCACACGTGACAGAAATAGTTGGCACACGTGACAGGAATAGTTGGCAGACGTGACAGAAATGGTTGGCACACATGACAGGAATGGTTGGCACACGTGACAGAAATAGTTGGCACACGTGACAGGAATACTTGGCAGACGTGACAGAAAAGGTTGGCACACGTGACAGAAATGGTTGGCACACGTATCAGAAATGGTTGGCAAACGTGACAGAAATAGTTGGCAAACGTGACAGGAATAGTTGGCAGACGTTACAGAAATGGTTGGCA